GGGGGAACACGTTACGGCGGGTCGTAAATAAAATGTTGTTGTCGATCGTGGAAGTATCGTGGAAAAGTTAAGGCGGTTTCGCACGAGGTGTAGGCGAAGGAAAGAAACGACCTGGCTTAATCCCGCTACGCACTTACACTGGAACGTGGCGTGAAAAGCATCCAACGATGGCTGGCCAGAGGCTGGATCAACTTCCTCCGTCTAGATATAATGCTCGTGAAATGGTCGCTTTAGTATGATATACGTATCACTTACGCGGGGCGATAATGAAAAGATTTGCTGGCTCTTTATGACTTCCGTGCCCGCTAACGGGCTTTTCTCTCTCCTCTCCCGTCTCTTTCTACCTTTGCCCCATTTTCTTACTCGCTTCTACATTTCACCGGCTTTTCTCTCGTACATTAGCGCATCCAGCTATCGTTCTCGCTGCACTTGCCAGACTTCCGAGTCCCCTATTAATTTTTCATTAGCCTTTCTTGTTCGACGAAATTCATTCGCGATTATCAGAAATTTTTGTTCGCTTCTGAAGCAATCCTCTGTGATCTTTTCATGTAGCCGATTACTTTCTCTCTTTCATCCGTCTCGTTTGATCACTTCGTTTAACTCGATCGCTTCTTTTATTCGGATAAAATCTGAAGGTCTCTTTGAGACAATCTATTAGTCATAGACTATAAAATGTTCGTGATTGAATAATATTTTAAATCGGTAGTCTGCTTGTCCATAATGAAGTTCGATCGAGGGTCGAACGAATCTAACCCCATATGCGTTGTTCTTTGTTTATTCGAGATACTTGGGGACACGTTGCGGCTTCGATAGTCTGTTCGCGGGGAATTCGCGCGGGCGAGAGTGCTAAACGATGTTTGCGGACCTGGTTGCCACGCCTGACAAGGGGAGGAAGCTTTTTGGTCTGATAAATTCGCGACGTCTACTCTTTCAAAACGCCACACCAAGTCGTACACCTGCCACGCTGAATTTCCCCTCGTAAGCAAACGATCAACTCGATGAGAATATTATTAACGTTCCCCGCCTTTGAAAGCGATCGCGGATTCTGCTTGAAACTCGCGCGGATCGCTCGCGGTTCCTCGATTAAACCGCGCAGAGTCTGTGTGTCGGGTTCGTCTGACAGGCATTCTCAGCCGCTAGTTCTCTTTGAAGTTTCTCGAAGAAGGGCCTCGAACGTTGCCCGACGCAACATTCGAGAGGCGCGTATTAAAAAATTCCAACCCCGAAATTTCAGGAATCCAATTTTTCCCCGATACGAGATCTCGTTACCGCGGTAAAACCCGCCGCGAAAATAGAGCGGAAGCTCTACGGAGAACTACCCATCTTCGGGAAGGAGACAGTTAAGCTTTAAGTATGATTTAGCTGGAGCGCGGAAATAATGGCCGGACGAGAGTGCACGCTGTTTTCCCAGCGTCGTTCATCCTCTAACCGCTGGCTGATCCGCGGCACGCTTACTTCGCGCGATTTCCAAAACGTCTGCTCCGTGGGCCGCGGAAACTTGCCGCGAGATTTGTAGTTCCGGATTTGTCCCTGAGAAATTATGCGCGACGCGGCGAGATACGGCTGCGAACGATCCAGCTGCTTGCCTTCCATAAGCGCACCAAGTTTCCACGATTTTACGACGTCGGAATCGGAACTGAAATCGACAAAGTGGCAGAAGTTGACGATACTACAATAATTAATAACTTCGTAAACTCGAAAAGAGGAACGGTCTACTGGGGCGCGAAAATTCCAGCGTTAAAAGCTCGTTCTCTCCGGCTAATATCGGCGTCGGTTGGCTCGGAAAGCATCCCGAGCAACATTTTTCTTCGGTCAATTTAAACGCTGTCTCCGAATGCTCGCGTCGAGACGCGTCGACACGTCGTTCCTTCCGCTCGTTTCGTTTTGTCCTTTTCCCTCTCTTTTCCCCGTGGATTTTATTTATCGCGAGATACCTCAGCCACTGGGGCGTGAATAAATTCGCCGCGCTTTCGAAGCGAATCGGTACACGGTCGAAAATAAAGCCGAGCGACACCTACGTTTTATTCTTGCACGGGACTCTCGCGAGCGGATTCTCCGGAGGCCTCGTCGAGCGTGCGCGGGGTTAAAGGTCCGGCTCACGGTTGAACGACTCGATTCCTGCCTACTCCGTCACTGCTTTTTCACGCTTTAATCAATTTCTCTCCCCGCGTTTTCGTTCGCAGCCGCTACAAATTCGCGTCGTTCCAATTGAAATCCGTTTTGTTGTTCCATAAATTGTTCTCTCGAGAACTTAACTCGTAAAAGGATTTCAATCAAAACGAGTTTCGAATATTAAAGCTTTCGAATGTCTGCAACTTTTAAGTAAACCGTCAGAACATAAATCTTGCGCGTCGTCTCCTCCACATTTTCTCCAATAATTAGCTACGCGTACACATTCGAACACGCTACACGTGCGAAACGTGCCGAAGCGTTTTCTGGCAAGCACGAAGGATTAAACGAAGCTTCATTAACGACACACAATGCCACAAGGACGGTCTCGAAACTATTGGCAATTCTCCAGCCGGACGTCCGCGTATAATGCACGAGCGAACGCGAGACATACGGCGCGAGTAATTTAACGAACGGAAGATTTAATCGTACCGATGGACAAAGTGTCCTTTAACGGTCCAGGATATTCGTCTTCCGTGATATCGAACGATCCGAAAGCGAGAACGAAGCGTCGAAGCGATTCTCCGTGTCACCTGCACGCCCGGGGTTACAACGGGTTAGAAACGTTCCCTGTGGACGGCGCGGTGTCGATGGGGTCTCGAAACGATCGATCGACTTCTCCTGAATCATGCGGGTGTCTGGTGCGAACCACGCGGAATATTTCACCGTGACCGGCTCGCTAGGACGAACGAAAGAGCTGCACTCAGGTGGGGGGTAATATACGTCGCCGAGGGCGGTAACTGTCCCCGTATATTATGTCCCGCGTGTCCACGGGGACATACATTCCAGCCGGCTGTATCCACGGTAAACAATGTTCCGGGAGTCGTGCCTAAACGATTCCTCGTGTCTGCAGTTATTTTGGCAATTAATCGCCGGCCCCCGCCGCTGATATATCGCGTTTCTTGTTCTACCCGGGAGTTTTTCCCTTTTGCCTTCGAACCTCTTCGAGGATGACGGCTCTTAACGATCTCAGCGTCGCTAAATTTCGCCGTCTTCTGTGCAAGAAAGTCAGAAAACATTAAGCTTGAATTTAGTATACAAAATTAACTCGATAAGATACTTCATTTATTTTATATGTCACAGAATAAATGTTTCTTCATTAAAATATTATGTGCGAGAACACCAATGGTCCTTGACAATTATTCATTGTACTTCTGACCTCCCTTGCGATCAGGACATAACACACATGGCCTCGTATTTATAAAAATTTTTCATTTTCCAACATTTGTAACCGAGAATAATGTAAATGGTATAATGTAAACAGTGCTAATGAGAAAGTTCGTTCGCAGTCTCAAAGCGGATACGGTAAAGGGAATTTTGCGAACCCCCTCAAGAAATTCCACCCTCGGATACATATTTAAAATTCTAACTAATCCGCGGCGTCGTGGGACGATCAATCTTGCTTCTGAACTCGACCCTTGCTTCCCGTCGACTCGTCTTCCAATAAAACGATACCAGCGATAAAGCTTTCGAAGCCAATTAGGGGCTAATTGATTTTAACTGTAAATCTATGGAGTCACGCTGCCTTCTCCACGAGATTGCGGTTCAGACGGAGCTAAGAATCTCTGCCAAACAGTCACTTGTTCCCGATAAATTTACGATGACTTTCTTACGCCTCGCTTTCTTCCGTTTTCCGCGTTAATGAGACTCGATCGCATCTGTCCCATCTTTCCCTGTCGTGACAGTCTTTCTCACCCTTCTAAAAGTTGTTACCTTTTCAAGATATTTGCAAATCCGATTACTCGTAAAAAGTGTTCCCATCATGCTTCTCAAAAAAGGTTTGAATTTCAAAAATTGTGTGGAGGGTATTATAATGATTAACAAAAAATGTAGCGATGCTGGTGCTTTATTACGAACGGTGCACGGAGTACAGGTTTTACTAGGACCACGACAGAGTTATTTCGTCGGTAGTTGCATTACTGAACGTTGCCAACCAAGTGATTCATCGGGGTGGGTTTTTGCGTGGTAGGGTTCTTTCGGTGTCCCCTGACTGCAAACAAAGCGCGCTTGTAGGAGTATTCCGCGGTCAAAGTGCCAACAAGATTTTAGTACTCACTGCATCCTAGATAGGGAACGCAAACTTTTCCCGCGGCACAGTCGCTGTGTTTTTTGCAGTAGTCACTCGCTGCTCTTTTCCGTCGGCTGTCCGGTAGGTGCAAGGTTACGACGTCCGACTCGTCCTACCAGGGAAACACAATTTTAAATTTGTCCAGGATTAAATGTTGCCTATCTGATATTTCTGTTTTATTAATGTGCAGCTTCTGTTTTCCTCGCTATTTCCGTGAAGCATCCATTCTTTATATTTTTGTTACACCTCCGAGTGAAACTTTTTGATACCGCATAGAATGATTTACTACAAAAGGATCGAAAGGAAAGCCGCTTTTACTCACTGACTCTCCACTGCTGCGATCCCCTAAGCGGATCACGTGAACCTCTGGTTCGTCCTGCGGACGGAGGACCAAGGACGATTAGAACATGATCACGATTTACCAAGAACGATTGAACTACGCGTCTGTTCGGTAAGACTAGCTCGTATCTCTGTACCTTGTCGTCTTTGATGATGCATCGTGTCGCAGAAACAACGTACACGAAAAGCAGAACAAGCAACAGACGATTCATCCTGGATTTTTGCGTCGACTGATGCCGATTCCTCTCGAACCGCTCCCTTATATGAGACAACAATTGCGACACTAAGTTCATTTTACTCGCAGACCTACATGCATTATCTCCGACACAAATTGGTTACACGAATTAGTTGCAACTTTATGGATATTAACCGCGACTCGAAACAATTTGCGTAAATAGCGTTCGTTTAACGAGGCTTCGCGGGAAATTAGTTACAGCCAGTTTACGGAAGAGGGACGACAGGCGACGTCGTAAACGTTCGCAAAACTGGTCTACGATCATTTTCTCGAGCGATCTTAATCTAAATTGGAAAAAATAGAATGGTCGATAAAAGGCATTGCAGAGTTGTAGCGTCCAGTTATTGCTTTAGCAACGTTTACGAGTTGTCCAACTCGTAAAATCGAGATCATATGCGGCCGTTGTATCATCGTTCATATCGATACAATTTTAGAGGAGGCTCTATTGCCGACTTTACACGGATTTTCCGCTTTAACTGCTATACATATAGACGTCATTTAACCCCTTACACTATTTTGACGTTTGGTGATACACTTCGTGATCAATTTTACTCGAAATATTAATATCTTTCAATTTGAGGTTTAATTGTAATTTGCGTAGTCAATGATGGACATAACATTTCAACTTCCTTCCTCTGTTTTAACATTGTAAATCAGTTAGTTCTGGCTCACGCACCTGACAAATATAGTGAAGGGTAATTTGCATAGTCAATGATGGACATAACATTTCAACTTCCTTCCTCTGTTTTAACATTGTAAATCAGTTAGTTCTGGCTCACGCACCTGACAAATATAGTGAAGGGTGAACGATGAAATTCATGTCTTCACACGGATTTTCCGCTTTGACTGCTATATATATAGACATCATTTAACTCCTTACACTATTTTGACGTTTGGTGATACACTTCGTGATCAATTTTACTCGAAATATTAATATCTTTCAATTTGAGGTTTAATTGTAATTTGCGTAGTCAATGATGGACATAACATTTCAACTTCCTTCCTCTGTTTTAACATTGTAAATCAGTTAGTTCTGACTGACGCACCTGACAAATATAGTGAAGGGTGAACGATGAAATTCATGTCTTCACACGGATTTTCCGCTTTGACTGCTATATATATAGACATCATTTAACTCCTTACACTATTTTGACGTTTGGTGATACACTTCGTGATCAATTTTACTCGAAATATTAATATCTTTCAATTTGAGGTTTAATTGTAATTTGCGTAGTCAATGATGGACATAACATTTCAACTTCCTTCCTCTGTTTTAACATTGTAAATCAGTTAGTTCTGACTGACGCACCTGACAAATATAGTGAAGGGGTGAACGATGAAATTCATGTCTTATTTATTTCAAGATCGAACCCGTTTCAAAGCATAATTTCCCAATCGCTATGAAAAGGGAGGAGATATCAAAGGCGACCAAAGTGTCAACGGATGGCCGAAAATCGTGGATGGCAAGTAAACGAGATAGAAAACAAAAATAAGCACGCGAGTACGAGAAGCTCGGGAGTCACAGTCACGGTCTAAATATACTCGACTGACGAACGATCTCGCTGAATTCGACGCGTTTTCCTTCCATTTATTTTCAAGCGTGTCCGACGCCTACCAGTTGTATCGCTAAGCGTCGTTTGACCTGTTCCGTGCACCGTTTCCCCGCGACGCCTTCTTTTTTCCTCTCGGGATTAACGCGGCCGGTACTCGCCTGTTTGTCCAACTCTTTCGTCGACCTGACGACGCTTTTAGAATCGCGCTGGAATTGCTTCTAATCGCTCTGCTTACTTTAAATACGCCTCGTGCTTCGAATTCTTTCAACGTAAAAAGACTCGAAACGTGTTTATTAACAAAACTCGATATCGAAGAAAGTCTAAGTCGCCGCGAGCAAATTAACACCGTTCAATTAGTTGGAACGAGGCTACAACGCGTCGCGGATGTCCGGGGAGGAAGATCGCGGCCAGACTCGTCTGTTTGCTAAGCTAATGACCAGTTTCCAGGGAGGTTCGGTAATCAAACGAACAAAGGACCTCCGGTCGCGTCGAGTGTCCATCGTAGGGCCGCTAGTTTCGAGCCGTCTACAACTTCGACGTCTCCTTTCGCGGCTATGCAAACGGCTTCTCTGCTCGACGAATCGACCGCGCTCCTCTCCAAATGGACCGTCAAGTTTCCAATAACGCGAGGCCTTGTCGACGAACGACCACCTCGACGTATCCAGGGTATGCATAATTAATTTCGCGCCGCGAAGACATCGGGCAGTAAAGCGCGACGTAAAAACGGAAACGACGGGGACTTTTATGCGCTCACGAAAAGCCAGTGATATGAAAATTACTGCACGAAATGAAATCGAGGGAATGTGCTGCGTAAAACGAGATCAAGGTGAACGTGACTGTTCGGTAATTTTCTAATGTACGAATTATTTACATCTTAACTCTAGTGACATTCGTGTTTTAAATTATTACGGTGAATTTTAAATTAGTGAACATTGATTGATGCATCCCTCGAATATAACCGTAATCAAGAATCGGCGTTGAAACTCCTAATCCGTGCGCGATGAAATTCGTTGTCAACGGGTCTGGTTCCCGTCCGAATTAATATTTCAATACGTACACGAACTTTATTCGTATCATAATCGAATAACGGGTTACAATTTCGATTCGATCGCCGGGCATAATCCGACTCGGTCCAAAGGGGATTATAAGTTAAAATTTTACAGACCGATTACCGGCGGAAGGTAGCAAATTATTTAATATCGATACCGTACCGCTACGGGGATGAAAATGACGGAACGCCGAGCAAAATGGAAGAAGAGAGGCTATTATTGATATTGATTTGGTTCGTATCGCGCACGATTCGCATCGTGGGAAAAGCGGCTTAATTGGGACGATTATCTGGCCGGTCAAAGAGATAGCGACCACCATTTTCGTGATGCACCTACGTTACGATTAAACAGAGAGTACATAGAGGATATGTTCCAGGCATGTCGTTAACGATGAAATTGTAATGCGGGACCGAAGATTAGCTTGACTTGCTCGATAGGATTCCCTCATGTTTAGGGCGGCATATGTGCCCTCGTGCGTTCCTTCCATTTAACGATATCTGCGCCGGGTCTATTATCAAGGAGGCGGTCGCTGCGGTTTATCCACCGCATTTAAAGAACACCGTAATTGTCCCTAATCAGTATTGCGTTATTAAATCGATTATGGCCGTAACCGGTCGATCGGAATTCGCAGCTTTCACCGGTTCACTTATACCGATAATTGATAACGCCCACTTCTTTCTACGATAAAAACACGTATAGGCGATTATCGAGGATGTTCCTTTTTGGTTAATTAACGAACCGTTACCTCTCACACTGGTTTTAGGTGAGAAACTCGTTTTTGATACGCTGAACATATTACTTCGAATAATTCCAACGTTACATTTTCTACTCAAAGCGTTTCTACTCCTCGAAGCTGGAAATTGATAAATTTGCTCTAATTTCAAAACGTCTGTGGTTCGAGACATCTGTCGTCCTCCTCGAAAACAAAGTATACGTTCGGTGCCATCCCCGTGTCTCTCGTTCACCAGATATAGACTAATTTCGACAAGCGTCTCCCGTGACGTCTCACGGGAGCAATAAAGGGACTCGAACGAAAGCGCTACGCATTGAATTCTGTCCGTTTGTTCGACTGGCCCGCAGAGAGCCGCAAAACTTCTAATTTTCCCACATGGTGCGGCACCTTCCCTTCATTCCAAAGCCGTCAATTTTCGACACTTTAACAGGGGTTTATTTGACGCTTTTTAACTGGTCCCTTCAGTATTATTCAGAGCGAAGCGATTCAGATTTAATCCTGATCTATGATTTTCACGATAGGTGCATCAGTTTGAGGTAACTAATTGTAAATGTTAAAACAGATAGAGAAAGTTGAAACCTTGATTGTGCAAATCATAACTGATATTAAGTTCCAGGCTCGTACTAAAAATATGATTTTTGTTTGTTGTTGTAGCGTCACGAATGTGACGGTATTGAAAGTGAAGGGGTTGAACATTCACTACCATAAATAGTGCATGTCTGAGGTTTTTGAATATCATTGAAGATGTAAGACAGTCGACTTAAAAATTTGTAACGAGACATAAACTTGAAAAATCTTCGGCCAAAGTCTTCTAATACACTGCGTTTAATCGCTAAATAGCAGTGTATCGGTTTGTATCGAAAGCTCGCAGAATCGTCATTGTTGCGAATTCCCATAGATCACGTGTACACGTACCACGGGGCAGCGTGGAACACTCGGAGGTACCATAAATATACGCGTGTACCATAGCCATGCGCCGTGGAGAGTTCGTGACTTAATCTGCAAGGGTATCTAGGCCGCGTGTACGGCCCTGTTACGTTGTTCGTGAATTTATGAGCCGATTCTGGTCTCGTGCTTTCAGATCTTTATTCTCCTTTCGTTGTCTCTTTTCCTCCCGCGAATGCTCTTTCAATATCGCGATCCGGTCGCGTAATATCCGCGATGCATCGATTCTCCGTGGCGCATTTGCGTAATTGCGTGCGCCCTTCCATTTTATTCGTCGGTTTTTCGCAAACCGGGCTGTATTCGACAGGCGTTTCTGACTAGCGATCCGAAATAAATATACAACGGGATAGCCTGGCAAAGTAATCGCGAGAATGGTTGTAATATCGGAATCCGAGCGCCATTGTAACATTCAAACTGTTCTCTTTGATGCCGCACTCAAAAGATTTTTAATATTAATCACCGAACCACGATTAATCGTGGTTTGGCGAATGGAATAATACGGTTTACCTGACGTGTTTACTAATCGCGTTTGCTGCTATTCGGGAAACTTTCGCAGCGAACGAATCTTTGGCTGAAAAACCGATACGTTTGTCGAGGCTTTATCGAACTTTTTCGAAAGTATCGAAAGACATCGGGACACGGCACTCCACTTTGGAAATCTTGCCGATCTCACCGCGTACGAGCCTTTAAGTCGTTGAGATATATC